CATGGACGGGAGCATACCCGCCTCCTCCGGCGCCTTGTTGAAGCTAATGTCGATCGACTCCTGTACATCTGCCGACGCCGCCCTCAACCGACGCTTCGCTTCTATCTTCTCCCTCAGATCCATCGTCCCTGAAATGGCTTCGATCGTCAGGCGCCCTATCTTGGTCCAAGTCATAGGGTGGTGGTGGCAGCTCCTCCCCTGTTCTCGCCACTCCAGCCACACATGCCCTATGCACTCTTTCCTCGGGTTTTCTGATGAAGTCATTGAGCATTACTCTGTCTGCAAGACCCTGCAGCTCTGTCTTAAGTTTGTAGCAATCAGCCGTGTGGTGCCCAATCTCGCGGTGGAAATCGCAGTATCGGTCCAAGTTCCGCTCGTTGGGTTGCCCCCGCATCGGGCCTGGCCACCTGATGTGGTATCCCTTCTCCTTGACGTGCTGGAGCACATTCTTCAGTAGGGATGGCAATGGGTCGGGTCGGGGGCGGATAGTGCATATCCGTTACCCTACCCAATGTACTTCGGGTTTTACCCATACCCGTACCCATACGAGAAACGGGTAGAAAATCAAAACCATGCCCATACTCATTCGGGTTTCGGGTATCCACGGTTATCCATGGGTAATAATTTCTCCTTATAATTTCAACTAATATGTTAACATTCACACGTATACTCACATGACGTAAGAGAAAAAGTACGACAATAATTCACTAGAATGACGAAAATTAATTAAAACAACATAATTTCATGAAAATATTATATTTATATGCTAAATATAAAATATTATAGAGAAAAATAATGATTATTTCTAGACAAAATACATATGCATATGTATAATCGGGCGGGTTCGGGTTGGTTAGTGAGATAACCATGCCCACCCATTACCCGCAACATTCGGGTTCGGGTTTTACCCGTACCCACGAAAAAAGCTTCGGGTTCGGGTTTTACCCTACCCGATTAGGTCGGATTCGGGTGGATATCCACGGTTATGGATATTTTTGCCATCCCTATTCTTCAGGGTGTCGTTATACTCGGCGAAGGGCCCAGCCCCTCTAGGCGCCTGGCGCCCCATATCGTTCCTCCTTTGCGGGGGCTGGCTCGTGGGCGCATAGCCCGAGCCGCTCGTCGGGTACTGTCTCCTCAGCACCTCGGCCTCCTCCACTCGTGCCTTCCTCCGATCTGCCCTCCTGGCTGCTAATGTCTCCTCCAGCACAATTACCTTTTGCACTCTATAATCCAGGTCTTCTGTGGATACCACATCTCTCTTCGCAAGCGCCCGGCACAACTCCTCACTGGAGGTGCACTCATTCAGACACACCCCCAGCACCGACAGCTGGGCGTCCTTCACTGCTAAGGCCACGGATAGCCACCTCTCGTAAAATTCCCGTAGCGCCTCTCCCTCTTTCTGCTTGACCTTAAACAAGGCGCCTATGGTCAAGGAGCGCCTTTTTCTGCTGGCAAACTTCGCCAAGAACATCGCTGCGAAATGTTCGAAGCAGTCGATGCGCCCTTCACCGATCTGATGATACCAATCGAGAACCACGCCTGAAAAGGTGGACGGAAACACCTTGCACAGGGTGGCGTCTGTGCTGTTATAGAGTTGCATTTTGGTGAAATATCCGTTAAGGTGGTCCTCGGGGTCTCCAGTTCCATCATAGGCTGGGAGTGGGGGAATGTTGGTTCCGGCTGGCTCCGACAATACGCAACGCGCCAGAGGCTGCCTCACAGGACAGTGGCGTGAAAGGCGCCCCAATATTCCTCCATTCCATCCACTAACGTCCGGCGCTCCGTGATCACGTGGGCGCCATGGACCGGGACGCCTCGGGCATCCCGATTCAATCTCCGTCTCTTCCACCCTTTCTCTTTTCTTTGTCGGGCTGGGCGTCATCCCTTCACTCCTTCTTAAGGCGTCCACTTCACGCCGCAGCGCCTCGATCGCCTCGTCTTGATCCTCAATGATCCGGAACAATTCTTTTTTCGTGACTGAGGCGCCTTCGGATCCCCGCAACGTGCCCTCACTTCCTTCACCTTCTTCCTCCTCGGGCGTCTGTCCTCTCATTCGCTCCGACTGCTCTTCCGTAATTTCTTCCCTTTCTTCGTTCATCGGCGCCTCTTCACTCATGGCTCCTGGCTATATTCCCCTTCCTGGCGCGCCAATTGTTTGAGACCCAATACCCTTTGCCAGGCTCTCCTGAATCCTCTCTCTCCGGGCGCCGATCTGCACACACTAACAAGGAGGGGGCGCCTTGGCCCGTTAATACTCCGACGCCCAAGTTAGTTTCTAGGAAGAGAGAAGTGTCTCAAAGCTAGAGTTTGTGAGAGAGAGTCCAACCTGCGTAAATGCTACCAACTGCCTCTATTTATACTTACCAGAGTTCGAGGTTGATCCTCTCTGCCTCCCTGCCTTCATTCAATGTTTTTGTCTCTTTCTGGCCAGACATCCCAACCACCTTGTCAGACTCCTGGCACGTGACAGGCGCCCGCAGGCGCTGGGCCACATGACAGTCTGGCTTCCCTTGGCCTCTTGTGCCTTGTCTTCATGTGGCATCCCCTTTACTTGGGCCTTGCCCCCCACTTGGGCTGTTTGGGAGCCCAAGTTTGCTTAGGCCTTGCCCCCCACTTGGGCTTTGCTCATAATACCCCCAACAATTAGTTTCAAAACTAAACACTACGAAAGTGTTTAATAATGAGACTTGTAGCTCTTATTACACAAATTGGTTGTAGCACAACTGGATCAACATTTAACTTTGCACCAAGAGGTGCTTGGTTCGAATCCCAGCCCTCTCCATCTGATTGTATATTTTTGTCACCAAGATTCTGACCCGTAAAACCGATGAAGCGGTTCGAACAGTTTGGCGGTTGAACCGGTCGGTTCACTTGAAAATGAGGTGTTCCAGCCGGGGCGGCTAAATAGCCTGACCGGACCGGATTGGTGGCCGGGTGACGGTTTCACCGGTCGGACCGACCGGTCCGGTCCGGCTTTAATAACACTGTAAAAAATTTACAATAACAAGTTTCTTTCAAAATAAAAGTTTAACATCAATTTTCTCATACAAATTATTGATACAAAAAACACCAATCTAGAGCATACAAGCAAACCGCAAATGATCAATACAAATTGTTCCAAATTAAAGATAAACATCTATAAATAATAAGATTAATTGAAAGCTTTTTCCTCGTCAACTAAGTTTCTTCACTCCCCACTTCATAATATCAACTTCATTCTAAACAATTCAAAAGAACAAATTATACATGTCTCCACAAACATAAAGAATATTAGTTGTTTAAGGAAGATATATTATTTAGAATATTAAATATACCGGGAAAGTAATTATATGTGTGTGAGCGGGTACCCATGGGGCGGGTTTACCTAAACCCAAACCCAACCCGACCCGGTGAATAGTGTAGCGGGTTTAAACCTAAACCCGATCCAAAACCCGCCAACACGGGTTTTACCCGTGTTGACCGGGTTGGGTCGGGTGGGTACACGTGGGTTTGGGTTTTGTTGCCATCCCTAAAACCAACCCAATTGCTTTGGGTTGATTGTTGGTTCCATTTATTGTTATGCCTCTACAAATTTCTGTTTTGCCCTTGCAAGGGTGAAAATCGGTACGGTTTTGGTATTCCAATATTAAATATCGAAATCTCAAATACCAAATAGTATACTATTCAATCTCAATCTCAATTTCTAATATTTTATTCAATATCGGCATATACTAAATATCAAAATATGCGTTTCAAATTTATAAATCAAATACACAAATGCAAATAGTTCTCCTTTGCTAATTGCTCCACCAACCATTCTCCAAATATATAAAAACAAATAATGGTGTCAACACTTAGTGCAAAACAAATGAGAAAGATTCTTAATTATAATAAAAAAAAAATAGAAAAATGTGATGCCTAAGAAGCACATTAACAAATTAAAACCACAAACTGAAACAGGGAATGACTAAACAACCCATAAATATACTTCAAGTAAGAAAATGAGATTAGTGAGCTTAGTATGAATTGTCAAATAGTGAGGGAAAGAGCTATGTTTAAGTAAGTGACCATCTTTGCGGTTGAGGGTCTGGTAGTAGTGAGTGAGGAAGTCTAGTTGGGAGGGATAAAATACATGCTAGCTTAAATTTCCGTATTGATCGGGATTTCAGTATATACCGATCTCAATCTCGTAATAACTAGTATCAAATAACACTTGAAATTCAATCCCAATCCCAATCTCGTGAAGTAATACGTGTATTCAATAATACCAAATATCGACAAATTTGATATGATGTTCAGTATATCTCAATACTAGTACAAACTTCCAACCCTAACCTTTGCAATCCATTTGCGATGGACCAAAACCCGAGCCTCCGCATTGTTTTTACTATTGTGTCCATCATATTGGGCTAGAAAACCAACCCAATTGCTTTGGATTGGTTCTTTGTTGGACTTATTTTTTGTGTACATCTCTACAAATTTCTGTTGTTCCTTTGCAATTTACTTGTGTCTCTCACTCTATGCAAACATTTTTTTTTTAGAAGTAGCACTAAAAATAGTACAAACACAACACACTTTATAATGACGGTCATTCCATGTTCAATTCAAACCCAAACCATGTTATTTACAGCTTAAAACACATAAATAAAAAAACAAATGCTTGTATATGTATAACATTTCACTAGAATAATATGAGGTTGCTTAGTATTTGCGTGAGCTTCATTTTGAAGGAGCCAACTCATTGGTAGAACTCCAAAATCTGGGAGATTTCCATCTCTCTATTGAACGAGAGTGTTACATGCCTTCCATAGACTCCACGGTATGGCTCGTAACCAACATTTCCAATGGAGTTGGTAAATAATATGATCACCATTCAATCAAATTAAACTTTTATCATTAACGTTACGCTGCTAATTCAACTTATGCATATACGGATATTCCTACTCGTACAAAAACCTTTACGTTGCAAAATGAATTTGTACATTTATCATTATGGATAAAATTCAACATGCACATGACTTTCCTTAAAATCTTTATGTTACAAACTGAATATGTACTTTTAACGTTATTATACAAATTCAACTTGTTGCTCGAAACACTAGTTCTTCTTCGTAGCATAGTAGACGATCGAGGTACAAGTTATTCTACACATTAATTAATTAATCTCACTTATACAATATTCTTTACACAATAAGATTAACCGTTAACCACATATTATCAAGGTGAGAAACCATATGGAAACAATATTTAATATTTGCCTAATTGAGAATGATTAGCAAAGCTCTTTAACACAAGGAGTGGTAGAGCGGCACGCAATACCCCTAAGCAAGTGATTAAGCATATTACCAACAAATCTAAAACGTGCAGTGAGAAGATTAATTCATCCCTTTCATAATTTGCGACATTCATCATCGCTGCTTTCACCCTGCCAAGTCCACACCACGTCCTTCAGCGCCGGCTTCACGTCCTTCTCGCAGAACTTATCGTACTCCAGCGTGTCCCCGGACCTCTTCGAGAACTCCACCACCGCCACCTCCGGCGCCACCTCGAACACCTCCGCCGTCACCGCCAGCACCCCTTTCCTCCCTTCCGCCTTCCCCTGTATCTTCACCTTGTAGTCGTCGTCGCTCACCACCCTGAAATTCGACTGCTTCGCCACCGTCTCCAGCTTCGACATGATCACCGGCACCCCGCACTTCGCCGTGAACATCGACCCCGGCTTCTTCTTCTCCTCGAACAGATTCGACAGATCGAATCCCGACGACATCGACGATATCAAATCAAACGCGTTGAAAAACGGCGGCGAGTGCGGCGCCGACGCCGACGATGACGATCCCCTTTCCCCTTCCTCCTCGGGGAACGCGGCCGGGATTGCCACCGGCCTCGTTAGCCCGACCTTGAACCACCGATTCTCCATAATCTCCGGAATCGAAATTCGCCTCTTCGTGTCCACCACCAGAAGCCTGGAAATCAAATCCCTAGCGTCTTTCGAAATCCAGTTGGGGATCTTGTAATCGGCCTTGAAAATCTTCACATACATCTTCATCAGATTCTCGTGGAGAAAGGGCAAATAGCCGGAGAGCAAGACGAAGAGGATTACCCCACAGGACCAAATATCGGCTTTCGCCCCGTCGTACCCTTTCTTCCGGAGCACCTCCGGCGCCACGTAGGCAGGGGTCCCACACTGGGTATGGAGCAACCCGTCGTTCCAGCGCTGACCCGGGAGCGCGGAGAGTCCGAAATCGGAGATCTTGAGATTCCCGTTCTCGTCCAGCAGCAGATTCTCCGGCTTCAGATCCCGATGAGAGACTCCCCGGCTGTGGCAATAGTCGATTGCGCTGATCAATTGCTGGAAGTAGCGGCGGGCGAGATCCTCGTCGAGTTTCCCCTTTTCCACCTTGGCGAACAGCTCGCCGCCCCTGACGTACTCCATGACGAAGAAGATTTTGGACTTGGTGGCCATCACTTCCTTCAATTCGACGACGTTCGGGTGCTTGATCCGGTGCATCACCGCGATCTCTCTTTCCACGTGCTCTGCCAGGCCTTCCGTCTTCATCAGCTGTTCCTTCTTCATCACTTTCACGGCCACGCTTTCCCCCGTGGTGATGTTCGTGGCCTTGAATACCTTGGCGAAGTTGCCTCTCCCGAGGAACCTCTGCATCTCGTATTTTCCGAACAGGGTCCGCCTACCGGCGATGTTGCTGCTTTGGCCGGAGCCCTCCCCGGGATGGATGTTTTGTTGCATGCTTCTTATCTCCATGGACGATAATAATATGATTAAATGATGGATGCTCGAAGGAGTTTCCCTTTCCCGTCACCTTCCTCTGTTTCCCGGAAATCGGGAAATGTTGGTAATCTGGGCAAACAGAGGAACGGGAGATTTTCCGGCGGGAGAAAAGATCGCCGGCAGTGAGAAAAGGGTGGTGAAAATATTATGAGTGGAGAAAATTTTATTATTTTATTATTTTTTTTCGTGAAGGAAGGAAGAATTGGTTAATGATGGAAGGGGTTGGATGATAATTGAGAGTTGTTTTTTTCTATCCTGGGGAGAGATTGGCGTTTGTCCAGTAATTCCTCAAGGGAAAGCAAATTGTGTGATTTTGTACAGCAGCAGTGGCAGAGGAAAAATACAACATATTAGTCACATAAGGTGAAAAGACGAAGAAAATACATGACTTGTAAATCGATAAACCGTGTATCTTCTATATTATTAAATTGAATAGTTTTATTTTGATAACATTATACAAGAAACTAAAAAGGAACACATTCACCGGAAGATCCATCTTTGAACCGGTCGAATCGGATATCTTTGGAAAAGTCCTATAACTCTAAAAGGAATACTTTCACTTGAAAGTCACCCAAAATTAGGGCCGCAAATGAGTCAAGTTGTTCCCGGATTTACACGAGAAAAAGCGTTCAATACTCGGCTCGAATTTTAATGAGTTGGCTCGTGAGTCAGCTTGTTTGTTAATAAGCTGAGTACGAGTCAGAGCCTCTTCAACTCGGTTAGGTTCACGAGCCGGCTTGACTCGTTGAGCCAGTCGCGTGAGCTAGCTCAATAGTGTGGTTTGCAAGATAGCTCGATGAAAACTCACGAGATAGCTCGATATTGTGGCTTCACTGGCTTGAAACTTAAGTCAATTTAACCTCATAAGTCAACGTGGTGGTATGGATCGCAAACCTGCAACTCGATTAGCTGCGCATTACATAACTCTTCGACTCACCTACTATTAGTCACATAAGTTGGAGGTTGGTTAGATTACATATCTTTCAACTTACCGTTATGATATAACTCCTATGTTGGTTAGACTACATATCTTTCAATTTGATGTGGTTTGAGACTTTGTATATCATGGCTAAATATTCATTGCATATTTGAATTGTGAGACGTATCTTAAATTTAATCTTGCTAAACACACATATCACATAGATATCGCTAAAGTTATATATATGGTTCGATGTATTATTTGGTTTGTTGAACAATGTCGAAATTTCTTATTGATTTTGCATTCGAATTAAGAATTAATTCATAACAAATTAACAATATCAATGTTTGGAGTTAAACTCTTAGAGTTAAGATCCAATCCGATATTAACAATAACAATACCATAATTGCATACGATTGAAGGCAATGTTCAATGGAATAAGAGGAGATTTTCAAGATATAAGTCGGTCGGTTTCGGTTTAACCAAAAACTGAAAATGCAGTTATTGGTTAAACCAAGTCACCCCCTATAGTTGTCGACCACCGACCGCAAGGGAAGTCACGGTTAGCCGGCCAACCGACCGATCAGTTTCGATTTTAGGCTTGGTTAGCCGGCCAACTGAAAAAACCTACCTTCTCTAAAGAAAAACACTAAAAATTAATTAAAAAAACAAAAAATTCTCGGCCACTCAATCATTATCTCTTTCTCTCTCCTTCCTCCACCAACCCAAGAGACCACTTCTCTTCTCTCTCCTTCCTTCCTCCACCATTTCACACCCACCAAACCACTTCTCCTTCTCTCTCCTTCTTTCTCCATGGATGAACTGATATGCAGAGACGGACGGAGAGGCCACTGGACAGATCTACATGCGGCGGGGGTCGCAGAGGGTGGGGGTCGTTTTCAATGACGGTGAACGCCGGGGGAGAGATGCGAAGGTCGGGGGAGAGTGCGAGCGGAGGCGCGGGAGAGGTTTTTGTTCTCTGGTGGATCTGGTGGCGCGGGAGAGAAGAGAGATGGGTCGACTATGGGGTCGTTTTCGGGTGGGGCCTGGCGCCGGCGGGGGAGGGAGGAGGACATGTCGGCGGTCGGCGGTGACAGTTCTGGTGGTCTGCGGCGCTGCGCGAGCCGCAAGAAGGGAAAGTGGTGGAGGGTTTTGTCTGCGCGAGAGGGAGAGATGGGGAGAAAGTTAGGGTTAGGTCACAGGGGGGAGAGTGTTGTTTTGGCTTTTGTGGTTGTTTCGGGGATGGTGGTGGGTTAGTGGTGCGAGGTCGTTTTGGAGGAAAGGGGAAGAGATCGGTTACCCGGTTAACCGCCAGTTTCCGCCCTCGGTTACTCGGATAGCCAAACCTCTTCCCCTCTCCTCCGACGACCGACCGCTGGCAAAAGAGACCGGTTTTTGGTTAGCCAAAAACCTATCGGTTGGGTCAAAACCGTTCGGTTAGATGCTAACCGAAAACCGTTCTGCCACCCATAATAATGAGACACAATAACGTCTACAAAAAGAGAAAGGGTGATTTTCATCACTTAGTCTGGAAGAAGCATTCTACTCCTAGACACGCATTCATTACTTGGTCGGTGGCAATAAATCGAATCATGACTAGGGATTGACAATTACCCACCCGATAGTTATACCCAAACTCAAGTAGATCCACTGATAATGGGTAGGGTATGAGTGAAGCACATATGAGTTTGGAGGTTTGTAGATGGGTTTGCACCTATTTACTTGATGGTGTTTTAACTACTCATGAGCATGGGTTGAGTATGAATATCCATTTACTTTATGATGTTTTAACTACTCATACAAAAATTGGACCTATTTGTAAAACTTAAAAAGTTTAGGTATCAAAATGTAAGATAAAAAAAATTTTGGTGCCAAAATGTAATTTTACATTGATATTTTGAGGACTTAAATGCAAAAAAAATTATGTACTAAAATTGTAAATCTATTAAGTTTACGTACCAAACATTAATTTGCATTTGGGCAAAGGTACAAATCCAAATCCAAATGTAAAAAACTCAACCCAAATAAATGGGTATGAGTATACTGTATATATACATCAAACTCTACCCATTTATCATTTATGTGAATTTCATTCCCAAACCAATTGGGTTGATAATAAAAAATTCATTTGGTATGAGCAAAATTGTGATCTCTAATCACGACCCTAAACAAGGTGAAAAACTGAAAACCAGAGGTAAATGTTGAATGTCCATTGTGTGGAATTGGGGGAGGGGATCGAGACCATATGTTCATTGCATGTCTATATACACAAAAAAAAAAAAAAACAAAAAAAGAGGGTGGAGAAGTGCTGGTTGAGTGAGCTTTGGTCTCAAATCGACTCATACATATATTAGCGAGTTGGTGTACACAATTGTGACTCACTATCCACCCATATTTTTTTTGCGGGTTGGATTGGGTGGGTGGCAGATGAGTGCGGTTGGGTTTTGGGTTAACCTACAAAAACAATTCTCCAATTAATCATTAAGAAAGTTTACTTACATTTATAATAATTTTCTTATAAATTATTAAGATTGTATCAATTAGTAAGTCGACCTAAAGGTGTTAACGAGTGCAAAATTTGTTATAGAGGTAGAGCAGTATCCTTTGTTTGTGTAAAGTATTGATAAATATGTGGTATAGTTGTAGCAAATGTAAGCAGTGGCGTAGTCAGACTTTGAATCGAATGGAATTCTTAAAACAAATCAATAATATAAAGCTATTTTTTTTAAAAAAATGTGCAAGTGAAACACATGATTTCAATGCTTTACTCATATGATACACTTGGTTGTTTCTAGAACGAGTCGCGACATGATTTTATATTTTGAAAACATTGTAAACACATTCACGGTCTAGATTATTGAGCACATTCTTTTCTCTATATCCAACCAAGAAATTAGTATTTCACTTATTCGAATTGGATGCTTGTTTTTTTATGTAACTCCTAATTGACAATTACTTTTCAGTGATTTTAGTTGGAATAAACAAAATAAGTTTAAGTTTAATAAGAAAATAAACTAATGTATAATAATTGTGCTTATCACTTTCCACCATATGTATGGCCAACTTATTCATTCGTTTAAGCTTTTGAACTTCTCATTTTTTTTTTTTTTGCATATTCGTGAGAAATAAAACTAGTTAAAAGAGAAGAAAGTTAATTTGTAACTATATAAACGACTCATAATATATACTAGTTGAGAATGAGCCACATAAAAGCACTTACAAATGCATAATTTTAACCATCTAAATGACTCAAACTTCAAAGTAATTTAGATTTGAAGTTTGTTAGCCTTGCCCTAAACCTTTTAGAAAAACATATTGATCATTGATTTTAGAAACATCAATACCTTATTTCTTGATTTTAAAATGAAACCGCAAAAACAAGTTGAGAATGGAATGAAGAGAATCGTTGGAATGACAAAGAAGGTTGAGTCTATGATTTCACCCTTTTTTGTGAGCAGTGGCGAATACAGGGGGTGGCCACCTCGGGCCACGACCCATCCCTCCCCTGGATTCGGAATTAATATAGCCCTTATGAGTTTATCAATTTTAGCCATTTGACCTAGTGTTATTATAATAAAATTGTGCATAATTAGGAAAATGGATAAGATGAACATATTCAAATTAGAACTCTAAATTTAGCCTGAAAATTCTAGCTCCAATGATTCTCATGTAAAGAAAAACAAATAATGAAACCTAAAATTCTAAAACGTAAAAGACTAAAAGAAATATGAGGTTTATTCCCTTAAAAAATTACTAGAGCAGCTGATGAAAATAGGAATTGATACACAATATATATTGATTAGTCCATTGATTTGTCTAGTGTTGACATTTGCATAACAAAATAAGTGATGAATTTCTCGCCAATTGATTAACTATTTTATCTTAAAGAGAGTATGGTATTGGTGTGGATGTAAACTCCATTATTGATGAATTCACTATATTAAAATTTAAAAGATCGACGTGTACAATTGATATTGTAAAAAAACTGTGATTTTCTTTTTACGATATCTAATTTTCTAATGAAATGTGGCTCAGTGCTCTACTGTGTCCTGGATCCGCCGCTGTTTGTGAGGATACATGGAGCGAGTTAGTTACGGTAGAAAGTCATCAACCCTTTTGGATTGAATTTATGAAATTAAGCTTATTATAATGATTTCATCTTTAATATTAGAAATAATAATTTATATGAAGTAGCCTATGTGTCCTTTCTGTGTGAGATGCCTACGAGAATCGTAATGATAGGGTCCTAAATTATAGACTACATAAAAGGATAAAATTTTAATGTGGTCCTAAATCTTAAGCCCGCATTAAAACCCATATGCATAATGAATTATTTTTTTTTTTGCGACCGAGACTTTCAAGTGGGGTCCCGGAACACCAGTCCCTAAGCTCTCCCTCCGCCACTGAGTGTAAGTAGGTCTGACTATTGAACTTTCAATGGCCTTGATAGTATTTGATGAAATAAAATTTCTCG